TGTTCCATACATGCAACTTTACTGCATGTACAGAATATTCCCTGCAACCAAAGTGTGTATGTGGCCCTGCTTTTATCAAACTCTACCATGCCACTATATACCTGTCCCTGGATAATAGGACTATCAGTAACTACTATCCAGTGTTGTGTGTTCACACTATCACACATACATCATATAGTCTATCCTCTTTGTCTTTCAATCTGTTTCCTTTTTGAGAAAAGCTAGTATGATGCTTGGGCTTTCATTTTCAGATAGCTATGAGGATATTGGTAGTTGCAAATAAATAAAGGGAAGGGCCCTCCAATGGCAGCCCTGTGATGGATTTCACCAGGAGAATTGCTGCAATGGAAAGTTCTTTGCCTTGTATTGTCTCATTGCTAACTGCCACTGCAGGCATTCAAATACCATATATGTTTTGTTCTCATACTACTGTCCCCCAAATGTATACGTTTATAAAGCAAATATTTCTTATTCCACGCAATAACACATTTTTGCCGTATTATATTAACCTTAGTCATGAAAATGGCATTACTTCTGTTTAAATAATGCAATCTGAAAAAGCAGGAATATTGTTCATGTAGTGGTTTAGCTACTAGAAGGGCTTACTTCCTAACACGGGTAATGTTGCTGACTGCTTCATTTCATGTAACTGGGTAGAATATATATAGATGAATGGAAACATGCACATATATAAAACTGTAGGATTTGAAGAACAATCCATATAAGTCCTTGTTCAAATTTTGTCAGAATTTTATGAGTAAGAGGTTAAATACACATGACTAAGAGTCTCTGCAGGATATTAATAATATCATGAGTTTATGTGTACAATTTTCATGGAAGTGGGAAATTAAAAAAAGGAATGTTTGCATGAAACAGGGAAATCTGTGATTTAGAGGGAAAGGTCTCATGCTGATAGAAATTCTGGCTAGTTTCTTACAAAAACAACATTTCTGAAAAGGCACTGGGCTTAGATGGGTGTTACTTTGCTTAGGATTGCAGTGTTGGTTAACTATTTGATGAGGTATAGAATTGACATGGTTGGAATTGCTCCTAAAAGCATCTGGATTTGTTTCACAGATACTGCTTTTCATCAGTGTTCTGCTACATCTACCATTCTAAGTCCATTGAACAGCTTTGCTATACATACAAAAACAGAGGCTCTCTCATTCACTTAAAATAACAAGGAATGTTCTGGATATATAGTTGACTTTTATGCATGGAAAATATCCTCATGAAATACACACTTAGATGTAAGTCTCCTGTGAAATGTATGTTATCCCCCCTGACCCCCAACCGATAGCTGGGGGGGGGACCTGGCAACCCTAGACCTCCTGCCTAGCAGCCCTGGTTGCTTGTCACCACTCAGCAGAGCAGCAGGGGGGGAATGGGAGGAAAATAGGTATCGTGAGAACATCATGATGTCCCTTGCAGTGTGAACCTCGAGATGACATTGTGTTGGCACAGTGCACTAGGATTCTCCTGCAAGTAGTTTCAGGTTTAAGCCAGAAGTGATGTCACAGTATTGGGATGATGCTTATTTGCATGTTACCACCCCCTAAACTTTCTGCTGGTTGTCAGTGCATGGCAGGCAACTTTACTTAGATATGAATAGGTCAGCCTATGAATAGGTCAGCCTCTATATATCTAATCAGAATCCACGGGTCTCATGATTGTAATGCTCATGTATTTACAGATAAATATGCTGTATGGAACAAGTAATCCTAAAGACTGCCTACTCCCAAATGAGTGTGCTCAACCATTACGATCATCCAGACAGATAGGGGCTTCTTGGTCATGGCATCAAAATGATGGAATTCCCTCCCCAAGGAGATTGTTCAACACCCCCCCCCCAATCATTGTGAAGACTTTCTGTTTCATCTGATGTGTCCTTATTGACCTTTCTTCTTGTTTGTTTTTAATTGTCAGTTTTATTTATGTGTACTATTTTTAAAAGTTGATTTATAATCTTGTTTAATTGTTCTATGCTTTAAGAGGCCTAATTGGACAAAGAGGCAGCATGCAGAGGTTTAAAATCAATCAATAATTCATTGTTTACAAATGAAAATCCCAGCAGATGACTTTCCTTTAATTTGAGGAGTATTTAAGTCTTATCATATAATGAACACCTGCTCAGGCAACTCAATATGTTTTCAGAGATTATGGCTGCAGTCTAAGAACATTTCCTTGGGATAAAGTGTTTATTTCTCTGTAGACCTTCTTAGGATTGCTCCCGACGTCACTTAGTGTTACAAATTCTGGAAAGCAGAAAGTTAAATATTAGATTATCGGTTTCTACCCTGATAATAGACAGTTCAAAACAGTTTTGATTATCAGTGATGTATAATTGTGGTGTTGCTTATAGGGTCACTTATTTGGGAACTGTCTGAGGTCAGATCTTCTCCTGGTTCCCTGTGCCATTCCCAGGGTACTCTGGGGAAACATCCCACTGGTTCCAGCCTGTGTGTTGAAGACTGCACTGACGGCTCCTCCAGCTCCTCCAGCCACTGCTGGTTGTCTGGATGAAGTATAGCACCACTACATCACCAAGGGACTGCTACTGGGCCAGATCGGCCAGGCCATCTGGCAAAAGAGGGATACTGGTGGTCGGGTGGGGCAGGCTGTTGGATTCACACCCAAGTAAACATGACCCATACAAGAGGCCAAATAGAAGACCAAGGAGGAGGCATCAGATTCTCGGCTGCAGAGGAGAGGGTTGAGAAGAGAAGCTTAGTCACAAGCTAGAGTCAACCACCTTCCCTCTCAACATGTGAGGACTTTTGCTTGCCCCAGTGGACCATGGGGGTGAGGGCAGAGTACAAGTCAGACACCGAGCCCCCGGATTACCACAGTGATGGGAGGAGAATTGGGCACTTTTGATCTTTCATTGGCACTGTTTCAGTTCACATTTTTTTATTTATTTCCTAGTGATTATCAATACATCTAATTCTCAACATTGCCAAATCTGTGAATACTGAAACCTGTGAGCTACCGGCTCGAAAGTTGTGAGCAAGCGAGTTGGCCGCTGCATACATTAGTTTGCTCTGGAGCCATCCTTCCTGAGCAAAGGCAAAAATGTGTGAGCCAGAGGCTAAAAAACAGTGAGCTAGCTCACGCTAACTCAGCTTAGCGGGAACCCTGCCCCCAAGTAGTAAATAAATGATAAATATTGTCGAAGATGCAGGGTATAATGTATCCAGTCCATACCGCGTGGCCGGCTCAGGCTCTACGCGGTCAGAGACAAACATTGAGTTTCGCTCCAAGAGACAATGGACTATGCGGATCCTAGCCCGCTCCAATCAGGAAGCTAGGTTCCCGGCCGAGAGCCTATGGGACTCTCGGCCACTGTAAATAACCTATTGGGAAGTAGGGGTGTGTTTTGGGTGGTGGTTTCATGGGGGATATAAGCTGGCCTGCGAGCCGGCCAAAGTCGTCTTGTTCCTGATCGAATAAAGTATGCTTTGCTGAAATCACTCTCCGTCTGCGTGCTTTTCACAGGGAAAGATAAACTAGAGGTTAGTTGCTTGCTGGGAAGGGGAGAGGAAAGGGGAGGATATGGGAGCTGTCAGTAGGAAAAATGAACTAGTACTAGGGCTGCCAACCTCCAAGTGGGGCCTGAATTACATTTCCAGACTACAGAGGTCAGTTCCCCCAAAGAAAAATAGCAGCAGACTCTGTGGCATTAGATTATGGTGAGGTTTCTCCCCTCCCCAAACCCTATGTTCCCCAGGTTTCAGCCATAAATCTCCAGGAATTCCCCAGTATGGAGTTGGCAACCCTTCATATTGTGCAAGGGGATACAGGAGACAGTGAGTACCACTCACAAGTCCTTGCAAGTTTCCCCTTACAAGACTGGGCCCAGCCTGGGCACCACACACAGGCCTTCCAGCTCTGGGTTGGAAAATACCTGGAGATTTTAGGGGTGGAGCCTGAGGAAGCCAGGGTTTAGGGAGGGGAGGGACTGCAACAGGGTACAATGCCATAAAATCTACCCTCCAAAGTGGTCATTTTCTCCAGGGAAAGTGATCTTGATCACCCAGAGATAACTGTAATAGCGGGAGATCCCCAGGCGCCACCTGGAGGTTGACAACCCTAGCCACATAGCTAGGCCAGACTTTTCCCAGGGAGAGGCTGCCAGGGAGAGGGGAGGAGGCAAAGCTGAATATGGAAGAGCACATAAAGATAGGCTGGTTAGCAAGAGAGAAAGAAAAAGGGAAGAACCTATGGGGGCTTTCAGTTAAGGGAAAGGGGAGGGGGAAATAAAGCATTGTCTGCAAGTCTTTGCGTGTTTCCTGCTTGTATTAACAAATATTATTCTACGGTGAAGTCAGGGGCTTAGATTCCAGATGATGGATAATGCAAGGAGACCAAATAGTGGACCTTGAGGTCTAAATTATAATAATACCAAAAAAGGAATCTGTTGAGGAGTCTCCCAGATCAGGCAGCTAAAAAGAAACTATAGGGAACATGTTCCCAGCGTGCTTGAAGAGAGATCTTGGGAGGTTTTTAAAAGCTTCTAGACATAACTGACTCTTACCACTGGACGTATTATCTTCACAGACATCCATGTTGATCTGATTTGGAGGATAATTGGTATGCCACCTCCTGGCCCCAAAAAGGCATGCATAGAAATAGACCCTTTCCCCAATCTTCCCTGCCAGTGTGTATCTACACTGTATTAGGAAAGTTTGCCTCACACTTTGAAGTCAGGGTTAAAATGGTATATGAAGGATGGCAGTTAATTTGAAAGCTGGTCCAACTCTACAATAATAAATGGAAATAGTATCCTATTGATCTTAGCAGTTGTCAGTTTGGTCTTTTTGCTCCTCAGATGAAGGCTTCAAGTTCTTAACTGTTGTTGGTTTTGTCATCGCCCTCCTCATGGAGATTATCATCATCATCTGTGTCTTGCTGTTTGCAAAGAGTGTGTGACTGGAGGCTGTCATTGCCTGTGGGTGTAAAGTTGTACTTGAATGCTTTCTTTTCCTTTCCTTCCACGGCAGGATTTATGTGGGCATCATTCATGTGATACTCTGGGAATGGCTGACGTTGGAACCATATGCTCCCCTGAGCGCAGCTGTGCGGTGATTGAAGATGACGGCCTCCATGCAGCTTTTACAGTGGCTCACGAAATTGGTATGCAGTGCCTTTTTTGTTCCCTTGCCAAATACAACACTTGTAACAGCTGCATTAGTAACCAAAATACTTTACAAGTAATTCCAGATTTTCCCCTGGTTTAGATATACACTTGGGAATTAAAGCTGTGTACATATTCACTTTAGGGTTAACTAATAGGGATCATAAGGCAAGTGGAAGTGCACAGTAGGCGTTTCTTTTCTGACAGTGTCAATTGTAAGCAATAGCTGGAGTAGAAATTTGAGGGCTGCTATTGTCCATACATGTTCCTTTCAAGAAAGTGTTAGTCCTTGCCATCTATGAAGGTTTAAAAATAACTGCAGGGTTTAGCAGTTTACTGTACAGAAGTATATATATGTCTATTGCATTTATATCCCTCTGCATGGGAAAGAACATATCCAAAACAACTGGGTAATCAGAAATTCTGGTGAAAAGAATTATTTAACAATCGGCAAAAGGTAGATGTACATAACAGTGGGGTTCAGATAATTGCAAAAGAAACCTAATAAGAGCAGTCATCAGCAATATGTTACTATTTTGTTACAAAAAGGCTGTGTATCAACTTCTACAAGCAAATGCAGATTTTCTTTTATTAAAGTAAAAGAAGTATCCATTTTGACATAGGAGGAAGTATTTTCATGCCAAGGAATAATTTGAGTTTCCTTTAAAGTGGTACAAATTACCTAAATTATACTCTTCCATAAATTTATTATGACATGACATTAGCAATGTTATTCCCATACAAATAGATTGTGAGTACCATGTTGAAAACACAGCTTTTTGGGTAGATGTCTTTTTGGATATAGTCACTTAGTTTAATGGTCATTGTGGTTACTACCCTTATCTGCTTTTGCAGGAATTTAAAAAACAGGCTTAGGTAATGTTGAACACTTCTAATGTCATGAATCATGTGGAACTGTTCTGATATTAGAACAAACATGTTGTATTATATGTGGCAGAAAGCTTGCATAGGTGTGCCTGAGCAGTTTTCATGATCCCAATGCTATGGCTGTATCACACCAAATAAGAAAACAATTAAAAATCTTCCTGGTCTCTATGAAGGCCCACATATGCATTCTGAGCCTTCACAGAACATTGGTTAGTACCCCTGTAGAGCAAAAGATGAGAAATATGGCTCATATCTTCTTCCTTTTGGGGAATCTGTCATGGCATGCACATATTTCAAGAGGTAGGGCCAGAGTCTTTCTATTACTGCAAGAGTAGAATCATTGAGAATATTCTCCAAGATTTCTCTCCTCTTACCTAGATTTTCACCATTTTTATTCTGTCTGTTTCTTGACTTCCTCTTGCAGTGGCCCAGCTGACACTGCTAGACTGATCTTCCTTGTATTCATGTAGTTGTTTTTGAAATGCAACTTATGCTAGTTCTGTGGCAATGGAAAGTATGCTACCTTCATGTGGATAAAATTCCTCCTGCCTAAGGATCCTTCCTCCAAATTAAATGGCTCTTCCATTGGTTGGAGGAAGACTTTAAACTTTGCTTAGTGCTGTGGTAAGATACAGGGCAGTGAATCCAGTGGTTGTTTATATGTCCTGTAAAAAAGTAATTTTGTTTGGCAATTTTTAACTTGCTGCTTCACATTTCAGCTTTTTATTTTTGTATTTTAGGAAATGTAACATATTTTGTATTTTCAGAGATTTATTTAATTCGGTCTCTTAGGAATTTACAATTACATAAAATCTATTAAGAATCCTTCAGCCATCTTTCTTGTTTTGTTTCTAAATTTTAGGATCTCAAACTTCAAAAATTGTATCCATGAAGATGATGATCCATTCTGGGTCTAGCTGAGTATAAATTTAAATTACAGACCCAACTTCCTTGAGATGTTCAGCACAGGAGGAAGTGGGAAGAGATGAATGTTCCAAAATCAGCCCTTGTTTCACCATGAGTTTCTCAGATAAATATTCTTTAAGACAGAATCTAGAGTTTCTTGTGTATGACAAAAGCCATAATGAGGCTCCCGGTTGACCAACAAAGTAGGCTCTGCATTTTATATCTTCATTTGGCTTGCATAGTCAACATAGTCATGGTCACTAAAGATCTCTTTTCCATGAGGGACATTAGCTATTCAGAATGTACAGCAATTTTAAAAATGGAAAACAGGGTGTCCCCCCCCTTTACATTCTTGGAAGGAAATAACAAGGCTAAAGGAACTTTCAGAGAGTGCCAACTTCTGATTTGCCTTGTACCTCATGCCAAACCAAAGTAAAGTTTGCTTTGGGAGTATCATTCAACCAGTTCAGTCTTCAAACAGCTAGCAGGTAGGGTGCAAGAGCGTTGTGCTTAATATCCTTCAAGGGAACATAAAGAAACTCGCAAAATTTGAAAGTATGGTTTTCCTTTTAGCAGTACTGTGCTAGCAGCATGAATCATAAGCAAATTGGACATTCTTGGCAAGAAATATCTGTAAATGTGATAATAATATATTGTTGAGACTCCCAGGTTCATGAAGCAAACAATTTGAAACTGATGAAGTATAGCTAATGCTCCAATCCTGTGAGCTGGCACTGCTGCAACCTAGATTCAGGTACAAGGACCATAATGTTACTACAATACCAACCACTAAAGTTCTAAATTGAACAGCATAATAAAACTCTTACTTGGAAAATCTGCCCCAGTGTCAGATGTTTGTGACTTAGCTAACTGTTGAGGGACCAGCACTCAGCATATGTTCACTTGAATTCCCATAATCCAGTTCTAAGTTCTGGCACTGTAAAAGATTTTTTTTTTTGGCTGAGCAAATTTGGCATCAGGAAAAGAAGATCCATGTCAGTGCTGATGCATTTGGCCTGAATTTGCTGCCCACGTCCAGTTTCCCAGTATTGCTGAGGTTGCCAAGTCAGTAAGAGAACAGGTGTCTTCTATGCAGGAACAGGATTTTGTGGTTTCCCCATTGCTAGTGTGCCTGCAGATAGAGCACAGTAGAACTAGAGCCTCCACATGGCAGGTTTACATGCCCTAATCCCCCAGAAGTGGCCACCCTCTCTACCTGGGCCACTCAGGCTTTTCATTTTTAAAAAGTGTCACTAGGATATTTTTATCAGTACAGCATTGTAGCAATAGATTTATTTATTTATTTATTATTTTGATTTATACCCCACCCTTCCCGCAAGCAGGTTCAAGGTGAGTCACAACAATAAATTCCAAAGCAATCTAAAAATGATTCAGTAAATAGGTACCAAATGTTAAATTAATACAATAAAACCAGTTTAAAACAGGTAAAGTGGGCAGTGCAGCAAATTTCAGTTCCTACAGCCAAGAATGAATGGGCTGGAACCATAAAGGTTAATAGTAGCCTACTGCAACAGCAACAGGGAGGCCAGCTGGTAGATGCCCACTGCCTCAATCAAAGGTCTGGCAGAACAGCTCCTTTTGAAGGCCATGTGAAACTAAGGTCCTGCAGGGCCCTGATCTCAGTTGGGAGCATGTTCCAGCAGGCCAGGACCAAAAAAGCCCTGGCCCTGGTTGAGGCTAGGCAAATGTCTTTCAGGCCAGGGACAACCAGCAGATGGTTATCCGCAGTGTGAGGAGAGGCCGTCCCTTAGATATATTGGTCCCAGGCTGCATAAGGTTTTAAAGGTTAGTACCAACACCTTGAAGCGGATCTGGTACTCAATTGGTAGCCAGTGCAATTAGTGGAGCACTGGCTGAATGCACACCCGCACAGGTGTCACAGTCAGCAGGCGTGCCACCATATTTTGTACCAGCTGGAGTTTCCAGATCAGCCTCAAGGGTAAGCCTACATAGAGCACGTTACACTGGTCAAGCCTGGAAGTGACCACTACATGGGTTACTGTAGCCAGGTCTCAGGGGGAAAGGTAGGGAACCACCTGCCTGATCTGCCGAAGATGATAAAAGGCAGTCCTGGCAACTGTGGCAATCTGGGCTTCCATAGAAAGTGAGGCATCCAAGGTCACCCCTAGGCTCCTCACCTTCTGGGCCGGCACAAATGGTGCCCTGTCCAGGATAGAGAGCCTGATTTCTGAATCCACTCCACCCCCCCCCCCGGCTCAGGTACAGGACCTCCATCTTCATTGGATTTATCTTCAACCAACTCTGTTGCAACTATCCAGCCTCGGCCTCTAAAGCACTATCCAAGCTCTCTGGGGCAGAGTCTGGGCTGCTGTCCAACAGCAGATAGAGCTGGGTGTCACCGGTGTACTGGTGGCAACCCATCCCAAACCCCTAGACCAACTGGGTGAGGAGATGCATGTAGATCTTAAACAGCACTGGCAGGAGGATCACCCCCTGCGGCACTCCACATTAAGAACATAAGAGAAGCCAATGTTGGATCAGACCAATGGCCCATCCAGTCCAACACTCTGTCACACAGTGGCCAAAATTCCAGGTGCCATCAGGAGGTCCACCAGTGGGGCCAGGACACCAGAAGTCCTCCCATGTTCCCCCCCCAAACATCAAGAATACAGAGCATCACTTTCCCCAGACCGAGAGTTCCTATCTATACCTTGTGGCTAATAGCCACTGATGAACCTCTGCTCCATATGTTTATCCAATTCCCTCTTGAAACCATCCATGCTTGTAGTCGCCACCTTTTGTGGCAGTGAACCCTCTCACCTAGCACCACTCTCTGGTCTGACCATGGAGAAAGGAGGAAAACCATTGTATGGCTGTCCCCTGAACTCCTATGTCAGCAAGTCGGTGGGTCATAAGAACATAATCGACCATGTGGTACGCTGCTGTTAGATCTAATAACAACAGCAGCACCAACCTGCCTTGATCCAGGTGTCTCTGGAGGTCATCTGTGAGGGTGATCTCCATGCCATGGCCAAGGCGGAAACCAGACTGGAATGGATCAAGAATGGAAGGGTCATCCAAGAAAACCTGAAGCTGCTCTGCCACCACCCTCTCAACTACCTTACCCAGAAACAGTAGATTTGAGACTGTTGGCTAAGACCGCAGGGTCTAATTATGGTTTTTTAAGGAGCGGACATACCACCACCTCCTTCAATCCTACTAG